GTGTTTTTCTTACTTAAAGTACTTTAATAGACCTGATGCTCAAAGTACTTTAATAGACCTGGTGCTCAACACACTCATCTATTTAACCCATGGGAGCACATCCCATTGGTCACCTGTGTCTGGTCTGGATTGTACATTCTAAACAGCACCCGTGGGTGCCTTCAGCAGTCACTCTTATTTCCAGGCTAGGTGAGGCTCATGGTAAGGAACTGTGGCTCCCTTAGGTGGCAGTCACTCGCCTACCTTTTCCCACTTTCCCTCATCACTCTCCAGGCTTAGACAACAGAGTGAGTCTGTGAGAAAATGGACAGGCATATGAATGAATTGACACCTGGCCTGCTAACCTGCCTTATTTAGTCTAAGAAGCCGGGCTCCCAGCAAAGGAGGACAACCAGGTTATAGAAAACACACTTGGATTTTCTGCATGCTACAGGCAAGGCTCTTGCTGTTGGGAAGGACATGTCTAAGCTTTTGTCACCCAGGAAAGTGACACCTAGAGGCCTAGAGCATCATATCAGACCTCCAATCTTCTTCCAAAAGAGTGGCCCCATTTATCCCTGCCCTGGGAGCCATCCTACTTCCTTCCCTGGATTCTTAATAGTCTGTCTTGACAAACAAGTTTCATTTAGAACCACAGAAAACTTTAGAGCTATAACCCAGGCCTTTAATTTTTTTTGTCTCTAAAAATATTTAATGGAAATTCAATGCTAAAAGGAAAACACTATTTACAAGTATGTAAAGATGTTCTTTAATGTATTAAGATACATAGCTCATTCACCTGATTTTGAATAAGAGTTACAAGATGCCATTACGGCTATTACAATTCAGTTTTTAACATGTAGTCCAAACCTCTCAGGGAGCTTGTAGAAGATGAATTCTTCCTCACTCAACAGCCATTAATTGCCTATAGCTCTTTCTCTGGGGATGGGGGTCAGACCTTTAATTCTTAACTGAAATTATTTAAAACATCATCTTAACTGATGTTTTAGAATTGAACTTGTAGTGCTTTATTTTTGGTTATTAATACAATTAACTGCCTACTTTAAACATTTCATACACTTCAAAAATGAAATGTTATGAATCAGTATTTCTCCTACAATGTTTCCTTCTAATGAAGAAAGGAAATATGGTGTATTGATGAGAATTAGTTTCATCGGGGAGAACAGACAAACAGAAACAAAACATCTGTGGTATGAGATGTGCTTATTTCTGTGTGATACAAACACACGGGAACTTGTGTCCTCAAGCTAGTGGCACCTTTGCATCGTCTTCGGGGTTTTGCAGCACAGAGAAATAAGTATGCCTTCTTACACCAAAAATATTTGGTGTAAGCTTCCTATTGCTTTAGGGGGAAAAAACAAAAAAAAACAAACAAACAAAAAAAAAAGCCAGGATGTTGCTAGGTGCTGGGAGGTGAAGACAGCACACCCTGTAAATCCCAAATTCCAACCTCAGCTACATTTCTCACTGTGTGGTGCTGTCATGTGTTCCTTAGAATGGGACAGATCTGAAAAATACACCACTAGCTACTTTTATCACATGCAAACACTGTAGACTAAAATTATGAAATCCAAGATGGCTGCCGTATATTTTCATAACAATATATATTAGTCAATATATGCAACATAGACTTGAGAAATTGTCTTGGAATCATGTACCTACCCACAATCCACCATTGTCTTCAAATGTCATCATAAGGCACAAGACTGATCTTGGCTTTGTTGGGTTTTTTTTCCTAGTTCCCATTTATCCTCTATGACTGTGCCTTCTCTTGCTTCTCTGAGGCCTCATCTGCTTGTCTCTCAATGTAAGAGCTCATAATCACTGGACCTTCATACTCCGTTCCCTCTCTCTCTCTCTCTGGACTTCTCTGTAACAGCCATATTAAATCTACAACTTCTGCTCCCCTCACTTTGCAACCTGATATCACTCCCATATGTCTATGTATTACTTCCCTGGATTGCATACTCACATATCCAAGTCCTCACAGAACATCCCACTTGACTACATAATGAGCAATTCTGACTCACTACGTCTTTGGCTAAACTCATTACCTTTGCACCTTAAGCCCTTTCCATGCCTCATCTTTGTTCAGCTACACGGAATCGTGGAATGATGCTTCACTGTTCATGTGCTGTCTCCCTGCCCTTTTGCTCCTCTCTTCTCTCTCCTCCCGACTTTGGAGTCCCTCGTTACACCTACCCCGCCTTTGAGTATTTGCATGGACCAGCTACTGATTTAGAATCATTGCGTAGCTAACTGTTACTGTTACTATCGTTTTACAAATGAGGAAATTACAGAACCAAGAGGGCAGATAGCTTCCCCAAGTGTAGACGTTTCAAAAGTAGTAGAACCTGGATCTGAACGCAGGCAGTTGCACATTTTTTTGTCCTTGTGATTCTGGGGATTGAATCCAGGCCCTCACACAGGATAAGCGTGGGCTTTATCTCCGAGCTACATCCCCAGCCCACAGAGCACTCTCAACTGTTGCACGCCCCTGTGCTTGCCCTTAGTTCTCTTTCTTTTATGATTGATTTCTCTTCTCTTGTCTCAACTCCTTTCTTCGATTCCACCTCAGCATCAGGATAATCTTCCAAAGCATTATCTAGTCTTGTCATACCATTGCCTAAAATCTCTGTGTGCTTTTCTGTCTCCTTCAAGCTCCGCTCTTCAGTGGTATACACTCTGCTTTGGGACCTGATACCTGCACAGCTTATGGTGCTTCCCCACTGTCTTAGAGCCTCTGGCCTTCCATCCTAGGCTATTCAGGGATTCTGCGTACATTTTGCCCTCCCTTAGAGGCTGAATGTGTTCCCCTCTGTGCTGCCCAGCTTTCTAGTTCTGCACTTTCATATGGAACAGTGAAGGGAACTTAACGCTTCTCTCTCGCCCTTGCTGGCTTATATAAGTTATTTGAACAAACTGTGGGTTCTTTGTATCCGCAATACAAACTATAGTGCTCAGTGCAAAACAGTCATCTGATAAGTCTTTGTTAAATAAAGATGAACTAAAAAGAATAACCATACTCGTTCCCATTTGAGGCATGTTCTTAAACGAAGCCTCAGATTAGCTTTCCTGAATATCATGGCTTCACCCTAAATTTGCATACCAACAGAGGAAATTCAGAAAGATACAGGTTCTACACCATGGTGCATGGGGTTCTAAAAGACAGGAAGAGGTGAATCAACCAGAATATAAAACTAGAAGAAGCTAAATACATTGACATCAGTGACAGTGACAGGCAACTGCCTGACCCACCAGGACAGAGACTATGTTTGGGGAAATTGCTAAGTTGATGGCTAAAGAAATTGAAAACAGAGTCGGTTTTTTTTTTGTTTGTTTGTTTGTTTGTTTGCTTGCTTGCTTCTTCTCCTTTGTGAAATAGATGCTTTGGGGTAATGTCACTGCCACAAAGCAAGTTTTCCCCATTTGGCTGTATAATTTTTAAAAGAAGAAAATGGCAGTTTCATGTTCTAGGATTTTGGCACCTTTGTGCCAGGCAGCCAGAGTGAAATCACCTTCCTTGGTCTTGGCTCTTTCCTTTCTCCACTGCTAATCATCCTTCCAGCACACTGAGCAGTTGTCCTTCACCACTGAAGAAATGCAGCCAAGACTTACGTTACCATGGAAACGGAATCACTTTTGGCTGGGAGACACCTCCCTTCATCAGCACTATTATGAAGCAGAATGGGCTGGGAGGGGAATCAAATATTCTGCCCACCCATGCTATTGCTGGCCTCTGGGTGAATAAACGACTTTCAATTAGAGTACTTAAACATCTTTTAACTTCAATAATTATTATTAGAGCCCCAACAGAATTTTACTCAGGGAATTAAAAAAGAAGAAGAAGCTGTTGCTCTCTGTCAAGAGGAGGACCTGGAAATTCTGGGCCACTGCTGTTAAAAACATATGAGGGAATTTGCAAGTGATGGTTTGCTTGCATATAAAGCAAGTATTGCCTCTGATTTTTAACTTTCTGATTTGACCATATGTATTTGTCAGGCTGTCCCTTGTTCTGTCCTCTTTTTCTTAAGTCTCTATTATTACCTCATTTGTAGTGAACGTGCGTATTTGTTGTGTACGTATGTATATATAGAGAAATGTTCTATTTGTTGAAATCTATTTTTATTTATGTGTATGTCACATGTGTGCAACTGTCACAAAGGCCAGAAGAAGGCATTAGATTCCCTGACCTAGAGTTAGAGGTGACTGATAGCCACCTGATGTGGGTGTTGGAAACCAGTTAAGAGCAGCAAGCACTCTGGACTGTTGAAACATTTCTCCGCCCACGTTCCTATGTTTTTATCTTTTTCCTTCCAAATCCTACTGTTTACCTTCGAGAGAACCTTAGGAAATGTTGCTAGCAAACTAAAGATCAAAAGAAAGAAAGAAAGAGAGAGAGAGCGAGAGAGAGAGAAAGGAAGGAAGGAAGGAAAGTAGGAAGGAAGGAAAACCACATACCTTAAATCTGGTTTCATATCTTATAATTTTAAAAAGTCAACAATATCTTTTTTTCCATTTTAAGCATTTATTATGTATGCACTTACTTAGAGTTTTGTACACACTATCTCTCTTAATTATCATGATACCTACATGAAACGGACTCTCTTATAGCTAGTAATTTATACGTGAAGAGACAGAGTCAGAGAATTAAAATGATTTTCTTAACTCTCAAAGTCAGTCAGTACTATAGCTTGATTTAAACATGGTCAAACCACTCTGATCTAGTCAGCTCTTAACTGTGATCCTGTGCACCAGCCTGTTGAGCTCTCCATTTGTTTTATAAAAGGGAGAAAGGAGAGGCAGGGGATGCTGGAGAAAAAGGGGGAGGAAGAGAAGGAAAGCGGAACTACCCATTCTGTGCCTGGCATCCCTTCCCTATATTGTGGGGACCAGGGGGGACAGACCTAACTTTTTACTACACTCAGCTCTGAGGAACAGTGCCTGACATGTCACTCTGGTCTGATGAGGTCATTTTGTCTTTGTTTTGCATTGCTCAGGAGAGGTATTCTTGCAGATTAAAGGGCCACTGGAGGATGTTTATAAGGTCTACTGCTACCATCATGACGAAGCACACAGTGTCCTGGAGTGCTACGAAAAGGAAGAAGAGCTGAGGCAGCATCTGAGCCACTGCATCCAGTCCTTAAAGTAAGGCCTTTCCCATCCACCCTGGCTGCTCAGCAGGAGCCATGCCAGGTGGGCAGAGATGAAAGGTCCGCACTTCAAGGGGCTCCCTCAGACCCCTGCTTTATGAAAAGCCAATGCACTTGCACTGTAAGCCCGGATTGACTTTTGTTGCCCCCTCAAGAGGATGACTGAAAACACTTGGCAAAGATTCAAAACTTCGCAGAGATGGGGGGAGATGCAATATTGTCAAACAGCAATGATATAAAATAAATAAGATATGAAAGGTAGGCATTCTCACAGGCCAGGGGGCAGTGAGTTGATTACATTGGTGGAATTCCCGAATAGTCCTCCTTGTTGCCCTAATTCACTGTGGGGAGATTGTGAGGATGATTAAGGCCTGTGAAAGTTAGCTTCAGGACAATTAGACCCCCTGCCGTCCTCATCCACATGTGAGGAGGCAGTAGTGATGCTAGGCAAGTTTCAATGAGAGTCTTTAAACTCTTGCTGTTCTCCAAGCAGTTAATAAGCACAGGTTTTATCTTACCTTTGTAAATAGGGGACTGTGAGCCGGTGCTTGGTCTGACCTTCTCCATGAAACTAAAGTCACATATAGAGCTATGTGTCTTGTCCTTTCTCCTTGTCCTCGTCCTGTTGAGTTCTCCTAAAGGCTTTCATCCTTGAGGACTCTATACTGTGGGATGGGCTGCATCCGGTGGGGGCTAAACAGCTGGAGGAGCAGAAGTGTTAAGCAAGATGTACCAGTGTGAAACTCTATTGCGTGAGAGAAAGCGGGGAGTCCTCCTTTGATAGAAGTTTGTAGCAGTATTGGAAAGCAGTGGAGAGACTAAGTGAGACCACACTGGAGGAAGATTGTCCGGGCTCCAATTAGAACTGAAAATTAGTTTAACTTTCTTCCCATGGCTTCCAAAAAAAAAAAGTGCTTTGATTGAATTTCAACTTCATTGCCCTCTACTGGCCAAAATTGCAGGTTTTTAAACATTTTCCCATGTCAACTCAAAGAAAAATTAAAGTGTAAAATTGTATTTGCCTAAGTAAGTTCATATACGAAGAACAAGTCCTCTACATCCTCATGTCAGATAATGATGTCCTGTGTACAAAACACCTTCTCACAGCACATGTGCATCTTAGGTCACTTTCCTTCAGGTTCTAGAAACAATGGGGGGAGGGGACACATAACACTTGAAGAACTGGCTCCTTCGATTAATCGGCATTATCTGAGCTCAAGGCCCAAGGGACCTGGACAGGAAACTAGACAGTTGAGCTCCATCGCCCTCCCCCCGGCTTCTCTAAGCTGCTTGGGTGAGGATAAACATTAGCATGCTGTGCAATAAACTTTTGATTCTTAAGCGAACAGAGCCCACTACAGTATTCTCTGTGCAGCATAGCTCCACAGAGTTTCCTTTAAAAGCAGTTAGAGGGTAGAGGTAATTGTGGAATCCCAAACTTACTTTTAGACCTAAAAACTTGTTTTGCTTTTTAAGCTTCCATAATACACTGTCCCATGAAGTGTCCAGTTCTGTGTGACTTTTAGAAATAATCTCACCCGCCAAAAGTGGTTAAGGTGTAGAATGCACAAAATCCAAATGAAACAATATTGGCAGAACTATTTCTTAAGGGAAAGAAAATCAAAATAAAATAGTTTAAGCTGGAGCTATTTTCCCCAAAGTTGCTTTTCCATGAAAATAAAGTTAATGATGAATTGTGTGGGTCTGCCTGGAGGCTGAGTGCAGTGGCATTATTGATGTCGCTATAACACTGACCTCAGCTGAGCCAAGCTTTAAATTCTGACGAACAGGTTTTCAAACAGGTTTATAGGCCAAAGAGAGTCCTGAACACCCTCAGGGCTTGGTTTCCTTTGCCAAGTAATCAGTCAAAGCTATTACTGTCGCCCTGCCTTTTCCTACTGGCTAAATAAAGGAGCAGCTGCCATTTCTAATGAACATTAGCTGCGGCCTCCGTTTTCAGCAGTGCAAGGGATACTGGAATGAGTTGATTTAAAGCAAAACATCCACACGAGAGGTGGCTTCATGCCTCGGAAGCTAAAGTGGATTTTAAAGTGACTTAGGTCACATTTTAACCAAATGTAAAATATGTTTACTGAGGGCCTCATAAATATTTATTAAGAGTAGTAGATAATGTTGAAAATATTTTTAATATATAAGCATGGTCTTTGCCCCCCAGGAACATAAACTCTAGTCGGAGATAGAAACTGTCTGGAAAGCTTCCCAGCAATGCAAAGTTTATTTATTTAACATACCAGCAGGCATCTCTGTAAGTTTAGTTTAAGAATAACCTCCAACAGGAAGGCAGGGATACTGCCTCGTGCTGTATGATGTTCAAACTTAGGAACCTTCGTTATTCTTTGAAGCCCATTATCACTCAAAGGAGAAAATTATATTTGGGTCCAGAGAATTAGTTTTGAAGTGTTAGGGCAGTATTTCTCGGTGTGTGAGTTCTCCAGTGCCTGATATACCAGGAATGTGTATTAACAGTGAGCAATTTTAAACGAGGGTGGGAAAAGATGCTTTCAAGATTAGGAATGCTGGCTGCTCTCACAGAGGACCTGGTTATGCATCCACGTGATAGCTCACAACCATCTGTAACTCCGGTTCCTGGGACTCAGGAACTCTCTTCTGACCCTCACGGGGTACCTGACATCCATAGTTACGTGGTACGCATACTAGACAAAACACTCCTACATAAAATAAATACCTTTAATTAAAATTATCCAGAAATGCAGTGTGCACCTTCACCTACAGCCTAGAATCTGGACGCTTCGAGCTCTTTTTATTCAGCAGGGACTGTTTAGCCGAGTGAGACAAGTGACCCCTGGGATTGCCTGCAATGTTCTCTTACTACATCTTTGTTTGCTGAGGAACTGACTGCTGCCTCCTTCAGTTTTTCCAGCTAGAAATATTACTGAAGCCTCTGTTGTAGATCAGTGGCCCTGACAGGTCTCTTTGTTTTGTAAGATAAGAACAAAAGGACTTTCCTAAGGGTTTTTTTGTTCTGTTTTGTCTTGTTTTATGGCTAGATTCACATTTCTAGTCTCTTAGAGTTATAAATTAACCTGTATTTATCTTTTTTGCCAACAAAGATCCTATCCTCAGGAGAAAAAACATTTACCTTTTAGTGTAGTCACCTTGTTCCTGTGCCTTTCCCACTTGGGGAAGCAGCAAAAAGCTCATGCCATGCCCTAAGGGGCCACACTCTTAGTTACTCACCACCTTGTGTCTTGATTCTAAACAGAGGGTTCCAGGTAAAAGTCAGAACCACCTCTGGAAATTCCTTCAGCTCCTTGCAGTATGGCATTGTTTGGAAACAGGCTATAATCTTTAAGGAATAGCCACATAAAACCTTTAATTCGTGAGTCAAATTATAATGAACCCAGCAGGACAGGGAGGTAATTATTTTACCCCATAAAAAGCTGAATGGACACCACTTACCTTCTTCCTAGATTGTCCTCGGCTAGAATCACCTTCTGGAAAGCTTCAAAATCTATCATAAAAAGAATGTTTCTTCTTTAGCGACAAGAAAACCAGACAATGTTATAGTGCAGTATTTCTCCTTACAGAGTATGACTTCCTCTACTAGAAAAATGGCAGGTTCCTTTATAGAAAGTGGCCTGTGACATTAAACATGTGCTTAATATTATTATAATTTTAAGTTGTTTTGTTGAAGTGAATAGAAAAGAAAGAGAAAAGAAAGCTCTATGTCTTCTCCAGGGCTTAAAAACAAAGTGGTGTCTTTCAATTTCAGTGCATTTACACCCTAAGTACCATTTGTCCAACACTTGTTTCAATGGAAAATTAAGAATTTATTTTTATGTTTTACTAACTTTATAATATATGACCTACAAAAAAAAAAAAACCAACCCACAAAACCTAGAACAAATGATGCTCTCCACTAGAGGAAGATATGAGTAGAAAAATGACACCATAAAGGAAATAAGGAAATGGATACTAGTTCCGGGCCTCAGATAACTCCTTTCACTGCGGAACTTTAAAATATCATTTAATAATTTCCTAAAGTTATAACAGTGTAATTTTGTCTCCGATTCCAATTTGTAGGTTTTGGACTCAGCAGAACCCAGTTATTCAAGATGTCTAGGGATCCATGTATTCATACAGGTCTGGGGACTTGAGGAGGCAGTTGCTTTACACACATGTACCTGTCTTCCACACGTATGGAGAGCTGCAACTTTTTAAATTTATTCAATCAAGTTCAGCATAGGTATTTAAAATTAAAGACACTTAATTACATTGGGCATTCATGAAACTCACCCACTACTTCATTTTATACAGTAAAATCTGAAGGTATTTGTGATATGGCATATTATCTCATGTTTGAATTTTTATTGATCTACTTTCTCTCCTTCTTTTACAGGAATATATACATGCAAGAGTAAGTACTTCTTTTTAAAGATTTTTTTCTACTTTTAGTTTTATTTGTTCTTTGAGGATTTTACACAATACCTGTTGATCATATTCACCCTCTTCCCCAGATCCTCCCAGCTCCAAAGCCCCTTTCCACCCAACTTTCTGTCTGCCTCTTTACCACCCACCAAGTGCAGTTTATTCAGCCTGTATCCTCATGGGTGTGTGGCTTCCTATTGGCGGGTGGTTGACTTAACAGAGGCAACATTTTTAAAAAGTGACAACTCTTCCTCTCCTTGGCTGGGGTGGGACTTCCTGACCACTGCCCATCTCCATTCTGAGATTTAGTCTAGCTTGAGTTTGCATGGGGCTTGTGCATGCTGTCACAGTTGGGGTGAGCTTGTATGCACAGGTGCTCTACTGTGTCTGTATTACTTACATTCTTTTTTGTTTGTTTGTTTGTTTTTTGTAATTTTAATGATGGAAGCAAAATATACCTAAATAGGAAGTTTCTGGAAAAACCCTTTGTTCTTCCCTGTGTTGTCCCTCACACTTGACCTTGGCTCTGTATCTAGCCTTGCTTTTCAGAGCTGGATCTCTAAAAGCATCTGTGTTCCTTTTAGCAACAGTTTTGTCCAAGGGTTTACCCATAGAAGACCTTATGGTAATAATAATTATAAATTTTCACAAAGGGCTTGACCTTTGATCTCTTGGTGATTTTTTTTTCTTGCCCATGGAAGCTATCACTTTTCAGGGATAACAGTCAATTCCAGCTACCAGGACATGGCTATAAGGGCTATATGAGATGCTATATCAATGTTCTTCATAATGACAGTTTTACATCCTGAGTACCATCTATCCAAGACCAGTGTCACTTTCCGGGGTTAATGAACTTGCCCATTTTGGCAGTAAGCCCCATTCAGTTTTGAGCATTTCACAGTCTCGTTCTTTGCCCCTCAATCAGTTGTGGGTCTCTGTATTTATCACTGTCATAGTTTGACGGAGATGTCCTCCCATAGGTCACTGAAACACTTGGTCACCAGTTAGTGGCTCTGTTTGGGGGAGGTTTAGAAGGTGTGGACTTGCTAGAGGAAATATGTAATGATGCACAGATTATGATACACAGAGGATAAAATATGGGCTATATATTTTATTCTGGGAGAAGTCACTTACACAAGAAACCCATGACCCACAAGTTCCTGCTCCAGGGATCCATGCCCAGGCTGCTCTCCATGACCTGACTGGAACCAAGAGAGTGAGCTGGGGTCCTGGACCAGACCAGCCTACCCTGTCATGTCCGCACCCGTGGTCAGTGCAACAGGTGCAGGAGGGGTGGATATCTCACTACAGATATGTAAGTGAGTGGCCAGGCTTTGAGAGTTAAAAGGCTGGAGCTACTTCTAATTCCATCTTTTTGCTTCATGCTTGTGACTATTTGAGATGAATACCCTCAGTTTGCTGTTCCAGCTATGATGCCTGCCACTTGCTACCATGCTTCCCAGCCATTCATTGGCCCTGACACCCACTGTGATGGTGATGGACTCTTATCCCTCTAGAACCATAAGCCCAAATAAAACCTTCCTTCTACAAGTTGCCTTGGTGTGTGGTTTGAATAAGAAAGTCCCCATAGGCTCATACATTTAAATGCTTGGTAACCGGGAGTAGAGAGAATAGCACTTTTAAGAGGTGTGGCCTTGTTAGAGTAGGTGTGGATTTGAACGAGGGCTTTAAGGTTTTGAAAGCCCAAGTTAGGCTCAGGATCGTTCTCTATTCCTTCTCCCTGCATATTCAGATTTAAAACTCTCACATCCTCTAGAACCATGACTGCCTACAAAGCCACCATGCTTCCTGACATAATGATAATGGACTAAATCTCTGAAACCATAAACCAGCCTCATTAAATGTTTTCCTCTTTAAGAGTTGCTGTGGTCATGGTGTCTCTTCATGGCAATAGAACTTCGACTAAGACACTTGGTCATGGGATTTTTGTCACAGCAATGGGAAACTGAGCAATATGGTCACCATCCTCTGCAAATAGTGCCCTTTTCTGACCTCCTTGTGTAGAAAGCACACAGGGTGAAGGTCAGAGGACAACTTGAGAAAGTCCGTTCTTTCCGTTTACCATGTGGGTTCCAGGAATCCTCAGGCTTGTCGGTAAGCACCCTTGCCCACATAGACATATCTCTGGCCCTGGCGAAATTGATTATTGGTTTTTGAGGCATCAGATAGGCTGCCACTTTAAAAATCTTTTATTTCAGAAGGAAAGGGGACTGAAGAGATGGCTCATAGTCATGTTAACACGTTTGCCATGTAAGCATAAGGACCTGAGTTTGGATTTCCAGCACCCCCATAAAAGCTGGAAATGCTTCTGTAGTCAAGGGTAGGAAATCCCTGGAGCTCACCGGCCTGCCAGTCTAGCCAAGCTGGTAAGCTTCAAGCTCAGTGAGACCCTGTCTCAAGAAATAAGATAGAGAATGACCGGGAAGAAAACTGATGCTGACCTCTACATACGCGGCCTCAGTGTGGCCGCCGCTGTCACCCCACCACCATCACTGTCAGAATTTAGAGGGCACTGCATTTTCCATCTTCAGTGTCTGTGGTACCTGTTGTTTCTCTGAAAGGTTAAAGCATCTCCTTGTTCCCAGGGCACTGAAGTTTCATGTGACTGTTTTGCCTCACATTCTGGACAGTGGGTGCTGTGGGTAGCTGACTTTTCTTAAATCGCCTCATGATGTTTTCCTCCTCATGGTGTGTTCTAATGTTTTATTCTGAGAATTCTACCAATAGATACTAACTCCGAGATTCCTAGTGAACTTAGCTGTTATGTCTGCTTTCATTCTTTTTTTTTATTATTTAATTTTATATAACAAAGTCCAATTAAATGAAAACAAACATTTATACACAATATTTGGGAATTTGGTGTTCTTTCCAAACTACTTCCCTGGTTAGGGGCGCTGTCTTGGGGGATTCGAGAAGATTCGTATCCTAGCTGTAGCGTAGGGCGTGCCAGCGCGGAACTGGATCAGCTGACCTGTCAGGCGGTCTGGTGGATCAAACCACTTAGTCTGGAAGGAATCCACACTTTACCTGTGGAAACAAAAATAGAAATACTTTTCCCCAGTAACTTGTCTGCTTTCATTCTTTTAACTTCCAAGAGTTCTTAATTCTTCAGATGACCTCCTTTGCTTTCTTTCTTTCTTTTTTTTTTTCCAGCATCTCCCAAATTAGACAGTTTCCAAAATGGTGCTTTGAACTGATCCTTCTCATATTGACCCTCAGGCTCCTCCACTCCCCACTCCCTTAGATACTAAGAAACTGTTAATTTACCATTAGTAAATTTTCTGGAATGATTAAGTATGGCTGTTCCATAGTTACTGCTTCTCTACACTCATCTATATAAGTTATGATTCATTGTCCTCCTTTATTCTTCTAAAACTTAATAGTTTTGTATTTATTTTGAGTTCCATGTTTTATAGTAATTGCTATTTTTCTATATAGCCTACAACAGTTTTCTTTATTATTGACTTAAAAGTTCCATAAGGAGATTAAATTATTAAAAGCTTTCTTTACAGTTATTATAAAGTAAATAAAAATGTAGGATATTTGTGATCATGAAATGCTAGAAATTCAAAAAATTATTATAGCCAGTCATCAAGTTATATTTTCCTTCTATTCTTTCTGAAAAAAAATATATAGAGAGAGACAGATATTGAAGTTCAAGCTGAAGAACAGAAAACAAAGCAGCCAAGAGCCACCAGAGAGCTCTTACCTCTACAAGGCTGGGGTGATTCTGTCCTCAATGGGGCTGGAGACTAATAGCCAGCTCTGAGACCCTGCTCCTGTCTTATATACCTCTCTAGTGCTGGGATTAAAGGCATGTGCCACCACTTCCCGGCTCTATGGCTGTGACTAGCTTTGCATTCTGATCTCCCAGCAAGCTGTATTAGATCATAAACAATATCAACTCACATACAGGCATATTTCATATGGAATATTTTTTCTGTTTTCCACCATAGTTTTTACATTATCTAAATATTGTTTTTTCCTATATTTTATTGGAAAAGCTTTGCAGCAAAACTAGATAGTGTTGAAACAAAACTAACTGTGTTTGCTTAACCTAGTAAAGTCCCAGTAATAATGTGCCTGGTAAAGTTCCAGTAATAATGTGTGATGAGCCCAGTGTAGCTGTGTCTAGCACTAAACACTTGCCAATAAAGTTATAATATAAAAGAAAGCTGAAACAGTGTTATATGTTAATAACTGCATTCAGTTTTGGCACAAATATTGTGGAGGACTGCTGCACAATATTGTGGAGGTATATTACTACAAGGCAGGAGGTGACAATTGGCTGACATGGGGAGATCATGCCCAGGACTCATCTGCCATCACCGTTATCAAAACTTCACCTCACTAGGTGGGATTAGACATGGCAGTGAACTTTGTGACATCAAGCGCCTGAAGTGCTGTTATCTCACAACACATCCTCTATCTTTCCTTCCATGGTGTAGTCTGTCTGATGCAGATACCACAGCATTATTGATTGTCACTTGGGCAACTGAAAAAAAAAAAAAACTCCTGAAGACAAAAGTACCTGGGAAACCTCTCATTTTGTCAGCCATTTCTCAGACTGACATTTATGTTGTTTTTTTTTTTTAAAAACAATAATCACTTCTAATTATCACTGAAATCACAAAACAAAGGTACTAGAAATTTGATGCTGAAGGCTGATAGAAATAGAAGTAGTGATAACACTTGAACTCAATTACAGGCTCAGGTTGGCGTGTGACTCATCTAGGAACAGGAAGGAGAGTGGATCACAGAAACAACTGTGCCATGCAATATGTCTGTGCTTTTTCTCTTTGTTTTCTGGTTTTTATTGTTGTTCTAGTTTTTAAAATGTACGTATATACATATATACAGAGATGACTCTAAATAAATGATCTATTAGCTTTTTTTCAGAGTATTTGCCTACTTCTCTTGGATGGTATTTTCAGGAGTTTTTGAATGATGAAATCAATTAAAGTTTGGTGGTAATCAAAGAAACTCAGAAATTCTGACTGTAGTAGGTTAGAGATCATTCCTGACTTCTTTCTCATCTCATTGGATTGTCTACATAGTAGTATAAACTATTGCTAAGGGATCATCTCTGCTTTGATACATTAAAAATTGCTGCTAGCTACTGACACTCAATCAATCAAAATGCTTTTAGTTGGGTTTTCAATATGATTGATAGTGTTTCATCTACTTCATTCAGTTCTCCTGGAAACTGATGATGTTTCTTTTCTCCCATCCCTGATCTCTTTTTCTGTCTCTTGATCCTTCTCTCTGTTACACCCACTCCTTTCCTTTGCTTTTCTGTTTCTTTATTGTAAACCTTTAGTATTTGCTCTGACTTTCCTTTAAAATGTTTTCATTGTAGCCTCTGAACCTTTTAGTCTAGTATAATTCTTTTGAGATATAAGTATACTCCTCCCCTAGCCATTTACTTCTCCATTTTGAAATATTGGGGAAGGAGAGTTTTCAAAAGAAAATAAAAGCACATGACAGGAAGCCTGAAAACTCAGTGACTTCTCAGTCTAAGTGTGTGCATTGATAAAATGTGAGCATGGGTGGGAGATGCTCTGATGACAGAGAAATTGGTCATAAACTGGAAAATTGGGAAAAGAAATGATTACAGATAGTTGCTAAGAAAGATGATGAACACAAAATAGGGAGTTGGAATAGAGATTGATGTGTGTGTGTGTGTGTATGTGTGTGTGTGTATACATATGACAATTAGAGTCACTTAGTTTCTTATTTGTCAAAGGTCGAGTTGAACTAGATAGTTTGCAAGAAGCCTTTAGGCCATGTTTTAGACATTTTAAATTCCCTTTACTTTTCAAATTACATGACTGTTGTCTATCAGTACATGTTTTAAGTTCAAGTATGAAAAATGCACCTATTGGGATTTAAAAGGTGTCATTACTTTCCATCTATAGTCTTCTGTGCCCTACATTGATTTTTAGAAGCCACTACTGGCAGTGATTTGGATGGCGGTTTGATGGAGCTCAGGGTCAGTGGGAAGGCTCCCACCCTATCTCATAAGCACATATGAAAGGGCCTTTTGGGGTACTGGCTGTTGCACAGTGGTGTAAAGAGTTGTTGGTGACATTTCACAGTGGGAAAGAGATGAACAAATCATTACATGAGGGGCGGTTAGGGAAGTGTGGTAGCTATAACCTTTATTATAAATTTCTTATGGAGTCTGTTGTAGGACCCCTGAATGAATGGCTTTTCAGCTTGTTAGAAAACAGAGGACAGTGTTCAGTTTGGACAATATTTTTGGGTTACATATTTGAATTTTTCTACAATGAGTTTATATTGCTCACTAGTAATCACAAAAACACAATGGGGAAATGGCGCTTCTCTTGGTTGTCATGGGAAGACGCATTCTGAAGCTGGTATTAATGTCTGGTGTATACACTGACCTCTAAGTAAATCTAAAGATGGGTGATGTTTGGTAGGTATGTATACTTCGTTTGTTTTCTTTTAGGTCTTTGGTTCAGTGGTGGGGTATTTCAGCCTTGCTTCTTTTTGTCATTGTAGCAAAGCTCTTGTTTCCATTTGGAAATTTAATATATTTCAAAGGTGGAAAAACTGTTTTAGGAGCATCTTTTTTTAAAATCACAAAATGAAAAGCAATGTTGGTAAACAAAGGTAAAACAGGTATCAATGACGTCTTTTGTAGAGGCAAACCAAACCTGCTGGACATGGGGTCCTTGATGATCAAGCCTATCCAGCGTGTGATGAAATACCCGCTGCTACTGTGTGAACTGCGGAACTCCACCCCTCCCTCCCATCCAGACTACAGGGCACTGGAGGAAGCCTTCGCTGCTGTGAAGGACATTAACGTTAACATCAATGAGCTGAAGAGAAGGAAAGACCTGGGTAGGTGGGAGTATGGCAGGGTGACTGTCCCCCAGGATTGGAGTGTTCCTTTTGTGTGTCATAGTCACAGTGTCCGAATGGTGTCACGGAAGTCACAGTGAACATGATGACTTGAAATCTGGAGTCAGAGGACAGGAGCAGAGTGTGAGTTTGGCTTAATAGCTAGGTTCAGAAAAAGACTATAAGATATATACAAAACTGGTAATTACAAAAAACAAATCCAACAGATGTTCGAATATTCACTCTCACTTGATTGCTGCTGTGTTCTTGGTGGTATATTGTGAGTAGACAGTCCTCCTGCCACTGAAGTCTGCAGAGAAAAGAGGGGGCATAGCGCAGGATCTGCAGCCCCGGAGGCTAGCACAGAAATGGGACTGACCAGGTCCAGGTTCATGTGAAGGATTCCATCTGGTACTTTCTACTCAGTTGATCCTGACACACAGGAATGAAGATTAGGGTTGCTGGGGGGGGCATGTTTGTTTCCACAATTAACAAATGGTTCTTATCTACTTTAAGCTAAGATAGTACAGTTAATACCTAATGGTAAGAGTGGGGTTCAATATAGGAGTGCTAAGTCTATGGACCCAGTGTAGCCCAGGGATAATAGGCCTTCATCCCCTAATTAGTACTCACTAAGGGCTCTCATCCAAGTTTGTGTTTCCAATATAAAGACCTGAACTCAACACTGAAGTAATGATAGGAGTTTAAAAATAAATGGTGCAGCAACTTCATTCTCTTGGATTGGTTTTGTTTTCAAATAAGTAAAAAGGAAAATATTCGCTTTAGCAAATAAAAATCATAAAGAATACAAGAACAAAGTAATAGAGTCCAAGATACCATAAGCAAACTGAAAAGACTGCACATATAGGATGACTGCCTAGAATGTATTATTGCTATTATTATTTCAGTAATAAGAATATTCTAATAAACAGCCAATAAAAAAAGAACAATCCACAGGAAGCTTTGCTAGTAACTGGGGGAATGGAAATTAAAACTGCAATGATATGATATGCTCAATATCTTAAGCCAGAGAGTGTGTGCCACCAGCCAGTACTAGTCAAAATATTACCATACTTGATCTTATACAGGAGGTAGAAAACTGATCAAAAATTGTTTTGAAGGTTTACCGAGTAATCCAGTAAGGATAATAAACTGTGTTATGTGTTGTGATGTGATGAGATTAAAAAGCAATGACATAAAATACTTGTGTCAACTGGTTTAATCCCAAAAATTATTTGAAAGGTGTTTTGTTTTACTTTCTGGAACACGGCTTCATGTAGCCCAGGTCAGCTTGAAACTCATTATAGAGCTGAGGCTGCCCTTGAAGGGCTCTTCCTGCCTCCACTTTCCAAGTGCCTGGATTACAGGAGTGTGCCGCTATGCTATGCTTGACTCAGTCTTGAGTCTTATATGTTCAATATAGTACTATTCATATAAAGCTTGAAACAGTAAATATTACATCTTGTCTAACTCACTATGCACTGTTGGCTTAACCCTCATCAACAGTGCCTATGACTGAACATCTTTCTATGCCCTTACCAACACTGAATGTATCAAACGTTTGGAACAAGATGAGGGGTAACAGTTATTTCAAAGAGATTTAAAACTCAGAATGATTCTCACCTGGCCCCAAATCACAGACTTGATAAAAAAGCCAACCTAGGATTTGAGGCTGATATGTGATGGGTTGGTTGGTCTTTTCGTTGCTTTGGACCTGATTCCCTATTCCAGAGGACCTGTCCACTGATAATATGCATCAGAGCGGGGGTGTTTTCTTCTTTTCTGGTAAAAGGAACTTTTTTTTTCTTCCCTTTGACACTGAGAGTAAAACCCAACCTCTTCCCCATCCAGAGATTTCTTTAATGTGAGAAGTAAATTGAATAGCCTTGAGTAGCCGAGTTTCTGAAGGTTGGTGGGTGGGTTACTTTGGACAAACTAGGCAATGGGGTAATAGGGTAATGAAGTAATGGGGTAATGGATCCTGAAGAAGAAGGTTAAAATCTCCATAAATCCTGTCCTCAATATAAATATCAGCCTTTGAAAAGTCTAGTGGAGTGGGCACTCTGGCCGCACACAATCGGATGTATCACTGCCTTCTTCCTTTTCAGTTCTAAAATATAAGAAGAATGATGAGGATGAATCACTCAAAGACAAACTATCTAAACTAAATATTCATTCAATTAGCAAGAAGTCCAAAAGAGTCACAAATCATCTAAAGATCCTGACCAGAGGAGAGTCACAGGTAATTTTTCTTTATGGACCACCTACATTTCCTCAGGAATCATTAACACCGCCGTTCTTGAGGGCCTTGGCTTTGCTCTTTCTGTGAATACATCTAGAACACAGAATCAAGGTAGTGCCTGAAGCTCTTCCTTTGAAGGATGGTGGTGGGGTCTGGAGGTTTTAACACTACCTCAGCTTCCACTGGGAAGGCAAACAGAGGAGAGATGAAAATGTAGGGCATGGGGTGGCAAAGCCATAGGAGACATGACACTCAGCTGCTCACGGTCTCTCTCTCTCCAAGGCCACTTCTTCCTCCATCTCAGGTTTCTTTCTGCTTTAGGTTTTTCTATTCCTCTGGGATTCTCTTTATTTTATCAAAAAACAAAGTATTTCTTAGATGGATAACGCAGTGTGATAGTTTTGGTGTTCTTATCCCCCTTCTGTTCCCAGAGACCCCCTGGATGGATGCACATTACAGGCTAACTGGTTCTTAGTGATCCTTACTCAGTGGTTTAACATAGCTTGCCCTTTAATCCCAACCTCTTATAAATAAACTGATTTCCAAAGACTTCTAAATCTTAATCTGCTTAAGGAGAATCACATGACCTAATTTCAAAAGACAGGTCCTAGAGTTCCACCTATCTCAAGGGGGTACAACCTAGAACCCCGTATTTATGCAGACCTCCCAGGAGGAGCTGAAATTCGGGAGAACAGTGCTATATCGTCATCTCTTCTTCTCATTTTCCCTGTCGCTGCAGTGACTTTACCACTTGTGGGGAACATAGTCTGTTCCACCATTGCACTTATTTCTTCGTAATTTTCTAGAGATTCACCAGGTCTGTCACAAAAAAAAAAAAAAAAAGAGGCTTGGAACGCAGCTATAATGTGGGAAGCTGGGGGCATTAACAGTGCATGGTGGCTGATCAGGAAATGGGTAATTGGGACATTTCACTAAAGACAACAGTAATAAAATCAAATTGAAAATGAGCTGAAGGAGACAGTAACCCCCTGTAGGCATTTATAAATATGTGCAGAAATTCTCTTCCATGCTTTGTGATTTTGCTTCTTACTCAAGATAGTTCTGTTGAATAGAGCAGGCAGCTTCTAATCTGGGGTGACTTTTGTGGGGACCATTATATTCTTTCGAATATTTATCATCAGCTTTTTATTTTTTTTTTTAACTGTGAACTAGAAGTGAATTGTAGCTAAAATAGCCTGAAGGGATATTAATTAGATTTTTCCTCTTAATCTTCATAGAGGATGTCCTGTCAGCCATGAAGCATTTCACTGTTAATCAGAAAATCAGCTGCATAGGCTGGACTGGAGAAGAGATAAATCTCAAATCAATCAATTCTGTACTTGTCAGCAGCTCAGGTGAAATATTGGTGGAGTTAGGGTGTAAAGCTATTACCCAGGAGGAAGATTCTATTCAATCCATCATATGTGTATTGAACTCTCGTGTACCAGGCACTGTGTGAGAGACTGGGAATACAAAGATGAACAGGTATAGATCCAGAATTCAGGCTGCCTAGTTTTTAATCCCAATCACATCTATAAATATGTTTCTTTAACTTGCTACGTATCTGTCCTAAAGAGATTCTTAAGCATAGCACAGCACAACACAGAACTGCATAGCGTAGCATAAGAAACAAAACACAGCATAGTGAATAGAGCATAGAATACCAGTCAAGTAACCACTTATTTCATCTCTTATAATAATCCTGAGATGTGAGCAGATGGGATCTGCTGCAGAAAATCTTCCAGGATCCAGGATCCCTGCTTGCCAAATTTTCTACCGTGCTTTCCCTAAATATATTGTCTTCAGCTGTTAATTGAAACTAGGGCACTCTTGTGTCTCCTCCAAGTCCCAAGACAATGTCATAAGGCCTAGACTTAGAAATGAAATACAACACTTCCTTCATACTCTCTTTGTCCAAATCCGGTTATACTGGCTGAGCCAGCCACAAAGGAGTCTGGGAAATGGAGTCCCTGGCAAGGCAGCCATCCATATCTCCAACTTAATCTAGTGCTTCCTGCTCTGCTATGTGAAGGATCACAGGGGAGATTTAACATCCCCAAAGCATTTGCTTCTCTATCTCTAAAATGGGATTACTCATAATGCTTGCCCCATAGAGTTGTGAAAGATTTGAAATGATAAAGCGAATGAAAAGTTTGTGCACAGTGTCTGAATATAATTAATGCTGAATGAAATTAATATAATAACAACAGTTAACTATTGTTATTATTAAGACAAACTTATTCATCTTAAATGCTCAGGCTGTGTCAGTGAAGAAAATTGCTTAAATAATTAAGGTTGTAAGAGCACATAGGAGGAAGAAATTAATTTTCTGCAATGAAAAAATAGTAATGAAACTCAGCACAGAAGGGGCAACCCTAGAGTCTAATTCCTAAAAATAAACAGAATTCTGAAGCAGAAAGGAGCAACAGCATCTTCCATCAAAAAAGCATGGGAAAGGCTTGGTTATAGCTTGGGCAACATTTCTTAAAGTGTAATCCTGAGTGCCTACTTCAAAATCATCTGGGTCCTAGCTAAGTACACAGAATAAAATACCAGGAGGTGGTCTTTGAAAACTCCATTTACAAAAATCTGTACAAGCATATTGGTATGTGTACACATAGAGCTGGAGCAAAGACATTAGGCCAAAGATGCTGGGTTATTAATTCTGCTGCCTTTAATTAAGGCTTCCCTACACAAATAAAAATTAAGAGATTCAAAAATAAATAAAAGATTGTGTATATATAGTTATAGTTATATAAACACACACACACACACACACACACACACAGAGTTCTGAGGCTAACACTGTGATGTTAAGAAACACATGGAGGAAGAAGAGTATAATTATTACCAAGTACAGAAATGAACCACACACACTATGTTCCATGTAACATTCATATGCCTGTTCATAACAGCTTCACCACCACAGGACTGATTCTCGTAGACATTTTGGTTATAATAAATAAAGTTCACCATCAATAGGAATGTGTGCATCTCTAAAAATGACTAGAAGTGTATAAAACACAATGCATTCACATAATTCTAGTGAATATTACAGATAAGAAGACAAACACAATGCACGTGACAACCATCTTAGTTCTGCAAATGAGCTGCAGCAGAAGAACTAATATTGTACATCATCTTTCATGTTTGAGGTGATATTGCCACCTTTCTTTAGTGATAGGCCTAAGTATATTTTCAAAGTCAGCCCTGTGAGATAAACTAGAATGAGTTCTATTAGCAAAACAATAGACAGTATAGTTTGAGAACACAATATATGCCACTAAAAACTATAGGGGTTGGGATTCTGGAGAGATGGCTCCATGGTTAAGAGCACTTGTTCTCAACACCCACTCTGGGTGGCTCATAACCACCTGCAGCCCCAGCTTCAGAGATTCCAGCTTCAGAGAGGATCTAACACCTCTGTTCTCCCTGGGCTCCTGTATACTATGTGTGCATACATATTGTCCCCCATACACATAATAAAGTAATCTTTAAAAAAAACTATAGAGGGGGCTAGGACATGGCTCTGTGGGTAAGAGTGGTTGTTGTACAGATGTGTGATCATCTGTTTGCATCCCTAGCACCCATGTAAAAAGCCACACATAGCTCCCTGCTCCTATAACCACAGCACTGTGAGAGGTGGAGGCAGCAAGACCACTGGTGCTTGCCACATGCCAGCTCCTGGTTCAGGGACAGATTCCAGCTAAAAGGAGAAAGGCAGAGGGTGACCGAGAGGGCCATCTGAAGTCCTGTCCTGAAGGCATGGGTCTGTGACCCACTCTTCACACACGCGCACACACATGCACACATGCACACACACACAGAGTGTATCTCACACACACATGCACACACACACAAATACACACACACAGAGTGTATCTCACACACACACACACACACAGTGTATCTCACACACACACACAGAGTGTATCTCTCTCTCACACACACACACAGAGTGTATCACACACACACACACACAGAGTGTATCTCACACACACACACACAGAGTGTATCTCTCCCTCACACACACACACAGAGTGTATCTCACACACACACATATGCACACACACACACAGAGTGTATCTCACACACACACTTTCTTTCATAACATACTCTCTCACACACATCCTCTCTGTCACACATATACACACTCTCACACACTTTCTTACACAGTCTCTCTCTGTCTCGCACACACACACACACACACACTCCCACGCAAGACGATGTAGGGGAATGTTTTACAATCCTGTGGCTGCTGTGACATGGGTGTGATGGTATAAAATCAGCAGCAAATCGAGCTTCATGATATAACTTACAACCCTGGCTGGACATACGTTTGTGCTGTGTGCAGACCCAGAAAGCTATTATGAAAGTCAGCATATCACAGGGTGTTTTCACACACCAAAGGGTTTTTGTTTTTTAAATCATGTGCTGTGTCTATGTGGTCTGTACCATCTTTAGTGTTTTATTAACTTTGTACCATTTAAAACTAGTACATGCGTTGAGTCATGAAATAGTAACTTCTTGTGTGTTTTAGGTGAGAGACAATACATTTAACAGGGAAGAAAAGCTTTTTCGGTCACTAGAAAAGACTCTGAGGCTGTGTGTGAAGAACATTTCGTCCTGCCTTCAGCACATAGAGGTGAGTGAGAGACGGCTGCTTCTGCAGAAGTTTGCTGGTCCTCAGGTTATTGTGAGCAAATGTGACTATTGTGCGGTGAACTAAACTCTATCAAACTTGAGAGGTTTCACAGTTCGGATACGGCAAGACTTGGTCTGTGCACACTTCTTACCTAGCCTGCCCCAATCCAAATCATTGTATTGTTGGGCTTTTGTCCTTGTTTGTATAACAAGGACCCCATCCTGCCTTCCTTATAATAAAGATGAGTTTGTGAGCACTAGAGTGTATGTGAGGCAGACACTGGGTTTGTCTGATTTTACCAATATTGTTCTTTGCAGTTCCTAAAATAAGGATAAAAATCCCATACTAAGGAAAGCAAACTGAACTATATAGAACAACGCAAACCGTGGTAAGAAAATACTGTTGTGCAGTTAGAGTAGGACCCAAAACACTCCACCGATTTCTAGCCTCTTTGGAGGTTGTCCCGTCCTACTCAAGCATCTCTGCTTTTAAAAACCTTAGGTGGGAAGCTGTACATGGCACTCGCTGGAAAGGCTGGCCAAGGGTTTCTTGTAATGGAACTTACCAAGGGCACGATGTCCTTGAACACAACTTGACAGCAGCTATGACTAGAAGGATAGGAAGTTAGCAGTTACAGTAAATCAGTTAATAAGCACAACCTTCCTTCCCCAGACGTCTTTTTCTCTTGGATATCTGTTTTTGGAGCTAAGCGCTTGCACAGTTAGATAAAAGATTCTGCCAGAAGAACATTAACATGACCAGCACACTGCTTTGGAAACAAGATTCATATTCTGGAGGGATGAGCACTGTCCATCCCTACAGTCTTACCCAGAATCCGTTTCACACTCAGGTTAGCAAATCTTTACGAAAGAAGCCGGCAAACACAGTTGCGGTGGGTCACAGCAGTGGGCGTGTGGCAGCCCTTTGCCCTTCAGCTTTTGCTCAAGGACCCCAATGCCTCTGGGAAGCATTCACTGGTGTTTTCACTGATTGAATCCACAAAAAAAAAAAAAAAAAGTGAGCAGCTTTATTTCTGAAAGATACCGTTAAATTTACCAAGAAAAGCTACTGATTAAATCTAAGGGAATTGTTTTTTAAATAAGGAGTCTGAAGAATTGAATGACCCAGGGAACTTAAGATGGGCTCCTCCTACTCAGAGAGAGCAGGAATCTGTCAGAAATGATGTTGGGAGAGGAGGCGAAACAGATTGTGGCAGGTAGCCTGACTGCAGAGCACCCATGGTATTTTTACAGTTTTCTGTCTCTCCGGGAGATTTAGCATTGTGATGATGAAGTTCTCAAATGGGAGACGTTAATTGTGCTGACTTCACTCAGAACTTACCCTTCTGTAACTCTGGGTTTCGGCAGGCCATGCCCTTCACTCTGCAGAGTGTAGCAGAACTCCGTGAGATTTCACACAAGGATGGAGAGAACTGTTGGGAACCCCGAAATCTTGCTTCACATCCCTGTCAAGACTTTGTAAGTTACACTTACAGATAAATTCAAATTAAGCAGCAGGTTTTAAAAGCTGCTTTCACACACACACACACACACACCTTGTAGATATAAACTATGCGCTCAATCAAATATTAACATCAAAATTAGGCTTTTAGAGACAGGAGTTTTAAAATAATTAATTCTGCTTAGAGTGGGTTAGTAAGGTTTGGACTATAATGGAAGTTTAACACAATCTCATACTCTCTTTCTGTGGGGGGGGTGGTTCAGTGCCTGATAAAAAGACACTTAAACAATACTCAGTTAAGTCTGTGTATGAGATATGCAGAACATATTAACTTGTAAAGCGGCGAATCTTTGTTTTTCATTTGTTTTGTTTCACTTGGTTTTGTTTTTGAGACAGGGTTTCTCTGCGTAACAATCCTGGCTGTCTTGGGACTCACTCTGTAGAGTAGACTGCCTTGAACTCAAAGAGATCCACCTGCCTCTGCCTCCCAAGCGCTGGAATTAAGGGCGTTGCCACCACCACCTGGATAACTATTTGTTTTTAAGAGTTCTATAAAATATATGTTGGGAAGCATTGAAACATTCTGGACTAATAAAAGGTTTGGGTGGTATGCTTTTCTGGATAATACTAATTTTAGTTTAGTGCCACATGTTATTATTTCATAGCAGTATTTAATATATTTTGGAGAAAGCATAATAGGCCATATTTATGTGTTGGTTTTAGGGCAGCTTGTCTTCTCCAACCGGTCGTAGTATTAGATGACTCTAGCAGTCCTGGCCCATGAGGCTCAACTCCACCTCAAACAATCTTCAACCAATGAGCTCCCAAATATTTCCAAAACTTAAGAAGTGACACAACCCACATCTTACTGCAAAATTACTCTGAATAAGCTGGATTTGGCGTTATAAAATGAAAAGTTGGGATTACATGTTTTTGATAACTAAGATATGTATTTGCTATTCAGACCAGGCTGCCCGTGAGCTCAACAGAGCACAGCATTCTTTTGCTGTCCAAGTACTGGGATTACAGGCAAGTGCCAAAATCCTCATGTACATCCCCAGAAGTTTGTCTCCTGATCAATGCTAAGTCCTGTCAAGTTGACAATCGAAATTTACCATGCAGAAAGAGTAAGAAAAAATAATGTAATGTTTTGAAGGGTCTGGGAGGTGCCTTCAATGTGTAAAGGTACTTGCTATCAAGCCTGATGACTGGTTTGATCCTAAGGATCCACATGGCAGAAAGAAAGAATGAAATGTCTTCTGACCCCCAGATGTAGTCCCTGACAAGAATGTTCTCTGGCAGGAACACAAGATAACTAAAAAATTAAAACATAAGAACATTAAATATCACACTATCCAAATAAAGTGATAGAGATATAAGTCACTCAGGAATGGGCAGATGGATGTATAGGTAGGTCAATAGACAAAAGTTTTTACATCCATGGGACTTAACTGGAAAACATGGTTAGGTTTGTAGGTTTTTTTTCAGGGTTTAATTATAGGAAGGACATTTTAGAAAAGTCATTAAGGTTTTGCTCAATTTCAATTCACCAAGTTGATCAATATTTATGAAAATCATCTGGGCACATGTTCAGTAGCATCTCCCTTAGTAAGCAAGTCCCCCAGTTTGACAGAAAGAAGAAGTATCCTGTCTGCCTTAATAAAACAGTATTAGATCTACCAAGTTAAAAGAATCACCAGGAAGCATGATATAAAAGTGGCATTTTATTGGGTAACATACTGAACCCTTTGAAACTAAAATATTAACTCAAAAGTTTCCCCAAGGCAAAGAAGTTATTCTTCTCCAACCATAAATGATTCTTTTCTACAAATATTGTGTAGCACAAAATTCTAAAATACAACTTGCTCACCTGTTCCAGCTACTGTCCCTCTGGCAAATGAAGTTCATATCTATGGGCACTGGACATACATTGCAATCATAGCATGATCTTCAAATTAGTAACCTGTGGCTCCTGAGCAAGTAATAAATGCAGTGACTTATCCCAGATACAGTAAATGTGTTCGGGGCTCATTAAGTGATGGGCTGGTACCTACTAATTACTTCATAAACCAGAAATCAAATCTAATTTGTGTTGGCTGTCACTGGTGCCACTAACAGACGAGGTTCCCTCTTTTAAATTTCCCATGAGTTCAGACAAAGATAGTTGGGATCCATTTACATTAATTAGCACAGGCTGTTGCTCAGATTTCCTGGAATATCTTTGAGGTTACAAATGATGAAACTACTTCCTGATTCCTATAACATGTGTGATAAGGTGCAAGGCAGGGCAGACAGTCATGAGACACGGGATAAAAGTGCTTTTCAGAACACAGAGAAAAGGCACAAGAAGAGAAGAAATTGAAGCTAGGATTCCTGAGTACACGGTGTGGGGATAAGTGCAAAGCTCTTCCTTAATGTTTCAGGGCTGAGAATGTAGCCATTTCAGACGCCAAGTCAGCAGCCCTTGAGATTCTGGTATTTTTTAAATGCTTAGCTCTGGTCACTTCTGTCACAGGCATAAGATATGCATTTAAAGAACCGATGCTCACCAGGCACACACCTTTAATCCCAGCACTCCGGAGGCAGAGGCAGGCAGATCTCTGAGTTTGGTCCACACAGGTAGTTCAAGGATGGCCAGGATTACACAGAAAAAACCCTCTGGGGGGGGGGAGTAAAATGAATAAGAACCAAATCTTTTGTGGGGAATACAGTTCAACCCCCAAACAAACCTTAACATTAAAAGAGTAGATTTGAAACTAATATGAGGGGTATAATTGGGTCTTCCTCTTAGAATGCTTGTGCACATTTTCCTGGCAGCAAGAGGTGAAGATGGGCTCGGTGCTCGGTGATAGCCACACACTGACATCAGCTTCTCCCAGAGTCCATGCAGCAGCATGATAGCATGGCAGCTCAGTGTGGCTCTGGGGTTAGGAGGGGTGAGAGGGAGGGTCCTGAAGGAGGCATTCACAGCACAGGCGTGGATAGAAGAGTTATGATCCTGGTGAGCAGGCTTTCTCTTCTCGCTCATCTTCAGGTCCAACCTCTCTGCCTTAAGCCTGAATGAACAAGTTTAGACAGCACCCCCCCCCCCATGTGAGATCCTCTTCTCAAATGACTGGGTGCTGTCCTGTGCACTTTGAGCTTCAGAAGAGAGAAGGTAGGCCTACTGAGGGCAGCGCTAGTTACAGAATGAGCCATCCTTGTCTTGGTAATGGAACTGGGTTTCCTTTTGCAGGTAGCTCGCTCACAGAGACTCATCCTGACGCCCCTGTCAGCCTTGCTGTCCTTATTCCCAGGGCCTCAGAAGCTCATCCAAAAGCGCTATGACAAACTACTAGACTATAATAGCTCCCTGCCGCGGTCAGCAGCCCATGAATCAGACTTGGCCAAAAGGGAGTATGAGGCCCTCAATGCCCAGCTTGTGGAAGAGCTTCAGGCATTCAACCAGGCAGCCAGGAAGATCCTGCTGAACTGTCTGTGTAGTTTCATCACCCTGCTCCGGGACTTGATGCTGATGGCTCTGGAGGCTTATTCCACAATCAAGCAGGTGAGCACAATGCTGTCCTTTGGCCACCTCCACTTCAGTCCTCATTCAGAGTGTGCATGTGTGGCCCTTGTGTGTTGTTAGGTGTAAAGTCAGTCAGATGTCCTTCTGCATTTTGAGTCATATAGTTTTAAAGACTGCCTGTACACCACAGTGTTCCACTGTGATGATAATGGGCTAAATCTCTAAACTGCAAGCCAGCCCCAATTATGTTTTCCTTTATAAGAGTTGTCATGATCATGGTGATTTTCACAGCAATAGAAGCCCTAACTAAGACAAAAGCTAACCATCAAGAAGAGTTTCCTGAGCGAGGCGGTGGTGGCACATGCCTTTAATCCCAGCACTCAAGAGGCAGAAGTCTGAGTTTGAGGCCAGCCTGGTTTACAAAGCTACAGAGAAACCCTATGTTGAGAGAGAGAGAGAGAGAGAGAGAGAGAGAGAGAGGAGGGGGGGAGGGAGGGAGGGAGGGAGGGAGGGAGGGGGAGAGAGAGGGAGAGGGAGAGGGAGAAAGAGAAAGCAAGAGAGAGGGAGAGAGAGCTTTCTGGTCAGTTCAAGATTTATTTCTTTGGGTCCTGCAACCAATTAATGATATCTTCAGTAATACAGCCTTGTTTGGCATTGAGATTTTTATCTCATGTCTCTGAGAGACTCATGTCTTCTGAGAGAAGGATCAATCACTGATACAGAAGATATTTTGGTTTAAACTCATTTTTTAAAAAAAAAGATATTTTCAATTAACTTACACACTAGTGGGTTTAATAGAGTTTTTCCATATACCCTTAGTTTTGGTTAATCCACCACTTATCCCCACTGCCACTGCCTCCCTGTCCTATTCCTGACTAAACCTTTAGCTCCTAATATTTCCCCCGTTGTCCAAATCACATATGTTCTAGATCCTATTATATTTTGTATTGGATTGCAAGAGTATAGGCCCCAAATAGCTTCTTCAATATGTTTAAGCCTTTTCCTTGCCTGCTCCGCCCCTTCTGTCCCCAGATACCCCTTCTCTATTTTCATGTCACATATACTCTACTATTTGCACCCCAGCAAATGCCCCTTCCCAGTTTCCAGGTTCCGTACATGATAAACATAGACGACAAACACACGCACACGCCTAACCATGCTTCTTGCTCATTCCCCGCACACTCCCGCTGTCCCACCTGGGGACGCTGCTAACGCCACAGCTTCTGGACTTTACTCCTGGCTCTCTCTTGCCCCCTTCACGTCTCATTCTCCTACAGAGTCTTGAAACTTAAGAAAGAAAAGCGTCCCTACCAGTTTGTGTGATGTAACAAGTACGGTTTTTCCGCCTGCCGCCTGGTCTGGTCCCACCACTGCGCCAGCCCCAAATAACGCACTGAGACTCTGTATTTGATATAATGCTGTTGGCCTGTTATTTATTTCTTATCGGCTAGCTCTGCCTTAATTATTAACCCATTTCTGCTGATCTATATATTTCTCTTACCGGGGAGCCGGCCGGCATACAGCTCTCTCCAGACTCTCCATCTTGGCTCTCCTTCCTACTTCCTCTTTTCTCCTTGTCTCCTAGTCCCTCTTATCTTCCTTTCCTATTGGCCAACAGTGCTTTATTATTAACCAGTATGAGAAGCAAATATACTTAATGACATCTCCCATCAGTGTAACTTCAGACATATCAGACTGCCCATCTTTATAGAAGCTCTCAAGTTGTCTGGAATTTTCCTTGTGGCTCTGTCTTACAATTCCCACCATCAACTACAACGCTGATGGAATCAATGCCCCCTGCGATTGGTTGTCTGAAAACACCACACTGTTTCTCCACAGGTGCCACTGCTGGTCTTGAGCATCTCTGAGATTCAAAATCGAGTTCTAGAAGAGGTTCAAAACTTGAATTTTGTAAAGGACAACAGTGCCACCTTTATTGAGAGGAAACTTAGCTTTGAGAAGAAGAAGCCTGCTCAGGTTCCGGTGAGTTTAGCATTGTCTGAGACAGTGAAGACGTTGCCTCTTGGCCTTGTCCAAATCGTAGCATATATTGCTTCCCATACCAATTGCATCATCCAAATAACGTGCCATTTGCTTAAGTTTTATTCTCTGTTCCTATCTTTTATGCTATAACCTCCATAACTGTGATGTTTGTTTCTGTTTCATTCATGACAGTTCCCTAACATGCCAAAACATGTGCTAGATCACGGTGGATACACAGATTTTATTGACTGGGATTTTAAAGAGATAAATTGTTCAGTGCAGCCCCTCATTTTCAAACTATTTCATCTCCAGCCTCCAGAGATACAGTAGTTTCCTTAGAGTCACTTAGTGGCAGAGTTTGGAAAGTGTCACTTTGCAACCCCTGCCTTGTTTACCCAGAAAAAAGATGCACATAGGCAATTTACTGAATTAAAATTGTAAAGTACTTACTATGCAAGAAAGTAAATACAAAACAGTAAAATATTACTCAATAGTCAGGAGTTGTTAGAACCTCTGCCTTCTCTAAACCATTTTTAAAAATTACCTTATATATTTTTCCTGTGTGTCACACACACTCACACTCACACACACACACACACACACACACACACACACACACAGGGGGGGATATTGGAGGTGAGAGATACACAGAGGAATACATTAGGAGGTCAGAGGATAACTTACAGGAACTGTTTCTCCCCTTCCACTATGTGGGTTCTGTTTGGGGTGGGTGCTTTTATCCTCTGAATCACCTTGCCAGCACCAGAACCCCTGCCTTCTGCCTTCTTAGCCCTGGTTGAATTTTCTTTCTTTTCTACAACACTGCCCTCGTGTGCTTACTTGAGAATTTTTAACTGAAAATCTCAGCTGAATACAGTTAGAGCTGAAGCAAGCATCTGCCTTGCAATATATCCCGATTGTCACATAACTTGTGTAGAGAAATGGTTCTCTAGAGGAAAATCTTTATAAAGCCATTAAGGATTTCACTGTATGTCCACCTGAACCATGGCTTCTTCCTTTTCTCAGCCAGAAGTGCCACATCAAACTGACGATCACCGCTCCAAACTTCTGACCACATACAGAGCAGAGGAGCTCTACCGAGCTAAGCGCAAGTGCAATGCCACCCAAGAGCATGACATCAATCTTCTAGAAGGAGAGTTGGTAGCAGTCTTAGAACAGAAGGATCCCCTGGGGAGTACAAGCAGATGGTTTGTTGACACAGGATGTAAGTTTCTTTTCCCACAGAACTGCTACAGCTCTTCGGGTTGAGATTTTTCCAGGGGTCGCTCTGCATGTTTGGGGAAGGTCTTCCATGTAACCCTGGTGCTTTCTTTTTCTTCCTGCCAGTTGTAAGAGGCTACGTGTATTCCTCCTTCCTAAAACCCTACAAGCCAGCGAAGGAGCAGAAGGCAGATGCTGAGAACAGACTCTGTGATGATGATTTCGAGAACCTCAGCCTCTTTGTGTCTTGCCGGCCAGCGGGAGACAGTGTTATTGGTACTCCTGAAGGCAGCATAAGCGACAGCAGCTCATCTCTCAGTGGCACTTGTGGGAAGTTTGAAACAAATGGTGCTGATGTTGATAATTTTCAAGAGGAAGACGAACAGGTAAGACTTGAAACCTTGAGGTAACAAATATACTTGGCCACTCAAAGGAAAGAAGGTCTAGCTGCTTGCATTTGGGCTGAAATGCTTGTTGGGAAATTGCCGGCTTTGACGTGGAAGAGACCCCAAGCCTATTAGCACATACCATCTGTGGACTGTTGAGCCAAGAATTTAATTATCTAAACCCGTTTCCTCAAAAGGAAAAAAAAAAAGCCTGTAGAGTTTGTGTTTTGATTGGAGATAATATGCTGCACACTGAACTCTTGACAGACTAGATATCCAGTCATCACTCCACTGTTAAGTATTCAGAGTGGTCAGGAATTTCTTTTCTAATGTTCCACCATTGGAGAAAGGAAGCTGAGCTACGGTCATCAATATCAGGTAGGAACTTGTCTCTGAATCCTCTAGAACAGTGGTTCTAAATCTGTGGGCTGTGACCCCTTTAGGGTTAGGGGCCATTAAGTCATTAAGACCATCAGAAAACAAAGCCATTTATATTACAATTCATAATAGTATCAAAAGTCATAGTTGTGAAGGAGTAATGAAAATAATTTTATGGTTGGGGGGGTCATCTCAACATGAGGGTCTGTATTAAATGGTCACAGCATCAGGAGAGTTAAGAACCCCTGCTCTAGAAGCAATGTCTTCATTGAGCTGAGTTGGACATGGACGTTTTATCTCTTGTTAATACCATCTGCTCTACACAAAAGCTTCCTAACTTGCCTTTCTGTCATTGTGCCAATGCAAAGACTATCAGCATAAGACCTTTACAAATTGGTAAGCTAATTATGATGTAAGGTTAATTTTTGCTATCTCATAAAGTTTCTGTATATTCAACTACTAATCTCCAAGTAGTAACCAACTAATTTTCTGCCTTTTTACCTTAGTAATTTCCATTAGCCTAAATTTCTTTTCCATTGGGGTAATACATTTTATTTTCAGAAAATGAAAATGGAGCAATACTCATAAATTAAATGTGAGGTCTTTATTCCTTTCCCCCTTAGAGATCTGCTTCAAAGACATCCCATATGTGTCTTTCAGCTATATTTTGTGCATACATATATATATACAAATAAAATATATGTTACATTTTTTTTACAATTAAACACAACTCTACCTTAAAACAATTCCCTGAATGTGGCTCTGTGGTGCAATGGATAGCACATTGGACTTCTAGTGACGAAAACGATTCCCTGAAATATCTTTAAAAGTTTTTGTTTTTAAGGCAGAATCCCATGATATGTCCCAGGCTATCCTTTCACTTCAGTCCTCTGAGTGGTAGAATTATGAACATATGCTGTCACAACCATTTTAAAGAATACTTCATACGTATAACTACTAACCCAGTTAAAAATATTTCAGATGATTTGTTTTTAAAATGCAAAACAATAATTCCAGGAGCAATCTTCATCTCTTTCTGTATGCTTTTATAAATACATTTGTAAGGATAGTAATAAAAATATTGAGGAGTCAAAGGTTACATAGAAAATCTTAATAGGGATTGACACACTGCCCTTCATAAGTAGCATTATTTAGCCCTTATTTACATGCCATAGGATTCACTTAATTTCAGTGCAAAATCCAGTCACTTTTACTTATAATTACAGAATCGTAAAAAACAATTTTAGAACATTTTTTTCATGCCTAAATATCTATTGGATTCACTTGCACTCCCTGCTTTTACCCTTCTCCAGCTTCTGAAATTCACTAACCTATTTTCTGTCTCTTTATTAAATCTTTTCTGTATATGTCACATAGATGGAATTGTATATGGTGCTTTGGTGCTTTATTCCTGGCGTTTTTTTTCTCTCAGTGTGTATTTAACACACACACACACACACACACACACACACACACACACACACACACACTGCATCTATTTTACTGCCTAATAGTATTCTTAACAGATATGGCATTTTGGTTAACTATTTGCCAGTTATTGTATATTTGGCAATATCTGTTTTGGTGCTATTGTGAATAATGTGCTATGGACATTAATGTAAAGTCTGTGCAGATTTCACTTCTCCTAAATAGACATCCAGGAATGGAATTGTACCCTGGCATGGTAAATTTATGTTTTAGTTTTAGAGGAAATGCCAAATCATTTTTCAGAGTGCCCATTCACATTTTACGTTTCATCAGGAATGGATGAGGATTGTTGGGTCTTCCTTGGCAATGCTAGTTTATATTATAACCTGCTGTCTCTTGGTGGTTTTGATTTTCATTTCCCAAAAGACTGAATAACTTAGTGTCATCCATTTGTATTGCCATTTCAGGAAAACAGGGAGGGGAGGACAGGGTGGAGAGAGAAAAGGAGAAAAGGTATTTATAGCACTTAGGTGGCTTTTTTCTTTGTTTACTTTTGAATCTGTTTCTTACATCATAACTAGTTGTTTACACTGTGATCTACCTCTGTCCTCTCAGTTTTAACCATGCCAGAAGCTCTGGTGCCTTAACCATCCTTTTATGGCAATAGCTTCCAACTCATCCAAGCTCTATAGATGACTACTCTAATGTCTACAAAGGGAGATGTCTTAGTGAAACCACCACACAGGCTCTCAGGTGTGATTTAGTCTCCAAGAAGCCCTCTTTTCTGAACCCTCTCCTTTAAATCCATACTGACACATTTTTATTAAACTTCCAGCAAACCTACTTGTTCATAAAAACACGTAATCATTGAATGAAGAAAATAAAAGCTTGCTTCTAGAGGGTGAGAGAAAAGAGTAGTATTTTCCATGCAGTGTAATCATTTTGGCTTTGGCACTAGTGCAGTAAATACTGGTTTTCAAGCTTTTTTAGTTTTGGAAAGGAAAATTAAAATATGATATGAATTTTATTGTTCATAATTGGAGAATCAGAATAAAAATCAAGAAAATGAGATTGCACAATGCAGAGAATTTAAGATATCAAAACTAAATGCGCGAATATGTAGGGTGAGAGACTGCTGATGTGGCAATGGGGAACAGAATGGGGCTCATGGGTAATAATCTGGGCGTGAGTCGTGACCTACATGAGCCTAACTCGAATGCTGTGAGAGCCGGTCTGTGCTGCCAGCTTACCGTATAAAGGAGCAATCCGTAAAACATTTTAACAGATAACAAGGAAAAAAAAGAGCTATGTGATTATGATACATATTAATAGCATTTTAATGAATGTTTCTGGAAGAAAGGTACACACATTTGAAGTTGGAAAGTGTAGACTGAGACTTGAAAATAAAGAAGTCACTCAGCTCTTAAATACATGACAAGCTGAAAACCTCTAATTTTTTACCTAACAACAAAGAAAATAAAAAGAGTTAGAAGACCAGAGACACCACTCCCTCTTTCATGGGACATAGTCCCACTTTGAGTATGTAAGGTGCGCCTTTACTTAGCATGTTATGTAAGAACTAGAAAATGCCAGTTTGAAACAAATTTGGGTCATGCTATTCTAAAAGTGTTATGTGATTTTAAATTTGTGATTTCATGAGAATTTATATTTGTCTAGACTATATATTTTAACCCAGGCATGGTGGCACACACTATTAATTCCAATACTCTGAGGCAGAGGCAAACAGATCTCTATGAAATCAAGGTGAGCCTGATCTACATAGTGAATTTCAGGCAAGCCAAAACAAAATAAAAAAAGCACCAACAAAATACATATTCCAATAATAAATATATCCGATCAGATTTTATTTTACCTTTGAGGAAATTTGTGCCAAAGTGAAAGACTACACAGGTATTGAGGGATGGGACATTAGCTAATTCATCCATCTGAGAAATCCATGCCTGCACGGGCAAAGCATATTTATTATTGATTCAAATTGCAAAGATGACCACACTGCTGACTCCAGCTCTTATAGATTATTCTGGGACCATAATTTAGCACGTCACACTCCTGGAAGTTTTTGCAAACCAAATTAACCACACTAATCTTGTGGACCTATTCAATATTGTCACTTTTAAACTTTTAAAACTATAGAACAGTAGTGACAGATGAGGGACCACAGAGCCTTTCTCCAAGAATACACTGTGCATCTCTTTCTTAGAACAAGAGTTTGAATCCTAAAATTCGAAAAGCAAGGGATCAAGCACAGGGTTTGGAGTTAGAGAGTTAGAATGCATGTGACATAGCAGCACTGGGTAGCCCTGTCATTAAGAATGCTTCCAAGTCTTAACTGCAAGGGTTGTTGAGGATACAGCCCATGTGACATGAACTGTCACAAGCTCAGTAAAAGGTATTTGTCACTGCTGAAACTTAACTAAGAATTTATAGCTCCTCCATTTTGTTTCCTTCTCCATTTCCAAACAGAGTAACCCAATTCTAATAATCTATTTTCCTTCATGTACCACAATCTCTTTATGCTATCCAGACATTTTAGGTTAAGTAAACATTTGAACACTGCCAGGCATCATGGCATACATGGCCAGTTGAGAGGTGTACCTTGGAACATTTCAAACTGTCATGAACATACCACATACTGGATGCTTACCAGCAATAAAATCTTCACAACTGCAGAGACTGGAAGTCTGAAAACAAGGCATTGGTTTTTTTTGGCATCTGCTAAAGTCAACTTTGTAGTTCATGGATAGCACATTTTGGCTAGATTTTCACTTAGAAGGGATGAAGATCTTGCTCTGAGTTTACAAAAATCAATTCTACCCATGAAGGTTCCCTGTCTTTAAGACCTACTAACTTCTTCCTAAGTTTTACCTCATTACTACTGTAGAATTGTGGATTGGGGGTGGTGTCTTATGGCCCTAGCAATATGACTCCTTTCCTTGAATAATGCCTCAGGCTCCTTGTTAAGGTACTAGTCAATGGAATCAGTGTTTTATTGAGGTAAGTGATGGTTTAAAATTTACATAACCAGTCTAATCTTGGCCCTTTCACACTGTCCTGTCTCTTTTACAGCTCAGTACCATCAATTCATTTCTCACAGAACCTTGATCTATTAGCCCTCAAATTTCCATCCTTTTTGTCTACTACTTTTCATGCATCCACCTTTGTGGGTGTGACACACTAACCTCCTTTATTACCTTGTCCATTATGAAAGACCACTTCCTTCCAAATGTACCTCTCTGTTTATGTACAGCTTATTGTTGACAATGATTGTTCCTTGGTTTGGTTGTTTTGTCTTATCAGTATTCATTATTGCTTTAGCTGACTTATACAGTTCCTAATATAATGTTTTTGCAAAGATTGATGAAATGAATGTAACAAATTGCTTAATTTTTGATAGTAAGGAAACATTTTCATTAGCAGTCTTATGATTTTATTGGAAGATGAATAAACACTGATTTGAGGTCTTCCAACTTATCAAGTAACTGTGAAATATCTTTCAGAGAAAGTATTTAGTAATTCTAGGCACACATTATTCATCTAATTTTTTGCATGTGTGTCTTTGTGTTGCTATGTGTGAGTACAGTTACCCTCCAAGTCAGAAAAGGGCAATGGATACCTTGGAACTTGAATTCCTACAACTAGTTGTAAAACTCCCAAGTGTGTGCTGGAACTTAAATTGAGTCCTTTGCAAAAGCTCATATACTGTTAACCACTGAGCCATCTTCCAGCTATCATTTTACATTTTAATAATATTCAATATGGATATCTTCTGTGTGGTTATTCTCATAAAATTCTATTTTAATGACTACAAATTTACTTACTATGAGCGTGTAAAATTTATTTTCTCTAACTCTTCAATACATTTCCACATCCCTCCCACTTTTCACTCTACACACAGAAATGTCAATGTACAGAATCGATCTATCTGGGTTTCCATCTGTGAAAGAGATTCTTTAAAGACTGATTCAAAGACTTAGTGACAAAAAGCATTTTATAGAAACTGCCATTCAATCATGCACAATCAGAACTCTTTCCAATAATAAAAGAGGGCCCTTTCCCATTCTGTTCCACCACAGATTTGGTAGGACATAGCCTACCAAATCCATCAGTAAGAGCTTTACTGCGTGACCGCCAAAAACTAGGAGCACATTAGCATCGCTTCTAAAAGGGTAAAAAATTGTTAAGCTTCTCCAAAGTTTAAGGTTCTGATTCCAATAATGTCTCTTTCTTCTTCTTCTTCTTCTTTTTTTTTTTTTTTTTTTTTTTTTTTTTTTGGTCTAGATTTTCTATGCAGTCCATGCTTTCCAAGCACGGAGCGACCATGAGCTCAGCCTTCAAGAGTACCAGAGAGTCCACATACTTAGATTTTGTGACCTAAGTGGGAATAAAGAGTGGTGGCTAGCTGAAGCACAAGGGCAGAAGGGGTATGTGCCAGCTAACTACCTTGGGAAGATGACATATGCGTAAGGAAATAAGCAAAAAATGACATTCATCTCCGGGCAAGTTGCTTATTGACTACCTCATAAAACAGACAGGGAAATTCAAACCAGACACTATATACACTGCCAGCGTGTCATGTTTTAAAGAAAACCTTGCTTCCTAATAGGATGATGCTATGATGCATTAAGAATAATTGTTGATGGAGATATTACCAACAGAAACACCAGAGTTAGCAGCCTAGGCTCCAGCTACATATTTAAAGGTAGCAATCTTTTGAAGAAGTTTTGTTTATCATCACCAAAGAGTAGATCTAAGAATAAGTAGATCTAAGAATTATTATAATATTTTTTACTGTACTTTGCCTTAAACACATTGTTTTACATTTCTTATTTGCATATATACATGTTTACATGCAACCATAATATATATTCTGCAGTTTATACATGATGAGTATATTACAGATAATACAAATATGTATAACTCACAGAATCAACTAATTACACATAAAAATGATTAACAGCCAATTAGAAGTCTTTAATATGTGCCCCCATTTTAATATGTTTTTAATTGAAAGGAAAACATATTAATAATATCCAAGACTTGCTAAACGTGTACTACATGATAGACATAGCTTTAAGTGATTTATGTATAACAATTTAGTGTAACATAAAGAGTAAACATTTCCAGCAAGTGATCGAGGTGGGTCACCCACGGGCAGCAAGGTCCCAAGGTCCCTGTTGCTAATGACTACATCATTCATACTCCTTGAATGTAAAATAGCAACGTAAATCATGGACCTGGAGGAAATCTCTCTTCTCTCTGACCCACAGTTCAATATTTAGAAGCTTTTCAAAATTAAGAACTTCCAAAATCTTTCCCATGAGCCAGGGAGAGAAAAAACGCAGCATCCAGATTCGTTACTCATTCTTTTATTGTTGTGATTAAGCATGTTTGAAAGTAGCATTGTTTCAAAGCTGTCCTCCATGATTACTGATGAAGCTTTAATGAGGGGACATTTCAGGTCACTCAGTGATCTGGAGATGCAGGAGTAGTGTGCATCCATCCCACTTCAGAGCCAGGATGTGAAGACTTCAGTGGGCAGCTTTTATGCAGACAAGGCACTGAGGATTGTATTAGCTCTAACGCCATGTTCAGGGCACTGGTGCTTTAATTTGGGTACTGCTCAGAGAACTAACTGTCCTCCAAAACTTCAGGCATATTCATTCAGTCAACATATGTAATTGGATCTAAGTAGTCAAAGTGGGACAGACACCATCATGAGATGAACCAGGGAGAGTGCTCACAAGAAGGAGGAAACGAAAACAGATGTGTGACACAACTCTAGAGGGAAAGTTTGATGAAGACCAAACTGTCTGGCATGTGTATACTAGGTCAGCATTGCTAAATACCTACTGTACATCAGGAGCTCTGCTAGATTTGAGGCTGTTAGCACATTTCAAATTAATGCAGTGCCTGGCCATGTAAAGTTTACATTCTAATGAGGACAGTCCTGTTTATAGAACTAAAACCACAATGACCCCTAGCAATGAACAGAGTGTGTTTAGAGGATCATGTGACAGGGAGACTTCTAATTTTGTTTGACTTCAGTGGTTACTCATTATTAAGATAGATTTTAATGTCCCATAAAAAATCCTAATGACACATTTTAAGATTTCTTACTTTGAAAGATTGGATCCATTTGATGTACATATATTATAATTATTACTGAGCAATATCTATAACAAAATAAGGAGTTCTACTTCTGGTGTAGCTGACCGAATATCATACTCTCCTCCCTTATATAAAGGAAAGTTTATACGACCACTAAATTCATTAAAATAGCTTTATAAAATTTTCCTGACATTGCATTTGCATGTTTTATTTTTTAAGGATAACAAACATTTTTCTAAAAGATATTAGATACTTCAAAATTTTAATTGCCCTTTTAATTCAATTTTAAAACATAAATTTGTTTGCCTAAAGTTAAAAAAAAAAAGAAATCCAAAGTTGTTACATAAGGATATTATGACAATACCCAAAGAAATTTAATTTGCACACAGCAGTGTGTACCTGGACAGCTGTATGTAACACTGAATTTCACACACATATATAACAAAAGGTGTGCTTTTCTGGCTGAAATAAGTGATTAGATGGAGAAGCTTTGTCTACAGGTGTAGGTCAACAAGAGTCTGACTGTTGAAAATATACATCAGGACAATCAATGTCAGTTAACTCCAGAGAAAGATCTCTCAATGAAGCCAGTGACTGCAACTTTCCTAGCATGATGAGCACACTACTATAAGTGAGCTCTGAAAAATTACATAATGCTTTCATTTCCCACTTACTTTACTTAGAATCAAATAAATCATAATTTTAAAATTAGACACTTTTTTACTAGACCCCAAAAAAGGAAATTTGCAAGACTGTTTATAGGATGTTTATATTTAAGCAGTTTAAAAGAAATTGCTGGTTGCATCAGTATAATTACAACCAGGCAAGCTAATCATTTTATTATATTCCTTTTAAAATTAGTATTTATTGTACAGAATAGGATCCTCTGAAGTGGGAAAGTATATTCTACCAAGATGAAGAGGAATCTTTTGTAGCTATTTTTAATTTTAAGATAAATAAAAATATATGCATCTTATTTACACTTTATTTTGAAATGCACATGTTCAAAAGTACTAGTGTATGTAGTAATAAAGTATAGAGAGTATACAATACACATCTGGTAAGATAAAATTATTATTGGTGTGCAATCATGGAAAAGTCACAAAGTTACTATTGGAACATTCTTTATACTTCAGAAAACTATCTTGAATTTGAAGGGTGCATAGAGGCAGAGAGAGATAGATAACTGGTTAGTCACAGTAATGAAGCAATGGGTGACAGATGTTAAACAGTCAATCATTCCAAAATATAATTCGCATTTCAAGAAATTGCTTTTTAAATGCCTCATGCTATTTGGGATGAACATAGTTTGGGTGATTTACAAAAATGAGTGTTTCAATGACTGAATCATGGAATTAAAAACTCTTGGATTTTCTATTTGCTTCTTGGATTTTTTTTCTCTACCACATTAACCTCACACAGCTGTATGAATAAAAGGAGAAAATGTTAAGACGTAAAAACTCTGTAAGTTGTTGGTAGTAACCATAGCTTCCAAATATACCCACTGCACTGCTAACTAGTGACCTCACAGCCACATTCAGATCTCACAAAACTCAGACTGAACGAACTTACACATTTACATCCTGGTCATGAGGACATGGTTATAGTTCATTAGCTAGGCAGACTCTGGACTTGAAATTCTATAAGGAAAGATCCTGTTTAAAGGATACAACTCTTTACAAGTCTCTTTTTGTAGTTGCTTACCTCTCTATATACACTTAGATATAAAAACTTATCACTAAATTATATGTGATCCATAAAGCTACTTCAGTACAAACTACTTTTCCTCAGGGCTCCTGGATCTCAAGCTGAGATGTCTTTAGACAGCTACTCTTAGAGGCAGATACATTTGAATATTTTGAAAAACAACTCAATATTTTAGAAAAGACTAGAATTGAGATATTCTTGGTTAGACATCTTGGGACTATATTTTTACTAACTTAGTTTTTTTTTTTTTTTTTTTAAACCTCCACTAAGGCATCTGAATGTATCCATCACAATTCTAATTTCTTGTGATTCTTTATAATTATTGTGCTGATAAAATTTCAAAGTGATGTTTCCCATGAAATTTGTGGTCATAACAATTTATAATTTGTAACTAATAAAACTACTACCACACCATTGTTGAGAATTGGAACCATCTAACTTTTAAGTAGAGATGTGCTTTGACTTATAGTGGAGTTACATCCTGACACACTCACCATGGGTTTAAAATATCCTGACCTACTGACCATTAGAGCTCAGCAAGTGGGCACTACATGGAGAGTATCAGTTGCTTGTTGGCATGATCACATGAATTACTGCAAGCTACAATCTGCTGCCCCTGCCTATAAATGGAAGAGTATTATACAGTGTATGACTAGCCCAGGAAGATAACTAGAAATATCACATCTACACTCCTGAAAAAACAAACAAAATAAAATAACTACAGCATTGTAAACCTGGGGCCATGTGTCTTCTGTTTTATTTCATCTGAATTGTGTTTTATACAGTAGGAAACATGGGTGGGTTGGGTGGTGATGGCACACACCTTTAATGTCAGCACTCAAGAGGCAGAGGCACACAGATTTCCACAAGTTTGAGGCCAGCCTGGTTTACAAAGTGAGTTCCAGGACAGCTAAAGCTACACAGAGAAACCCTGTCGCGACAAACAAAAACAACCCAAAATTTAGCAAAGGAGGAAACTAACACAAAGGGGTTGAAGTAATTTCATCTTTTGACTATTATTATTTCAGTGCCATTTCTTCTTTAAGTGCACAAATTCTATGGTTAACCTCATAACGTACAACACGAAGAACAGAAAAAGGATACTGACCAAAATGCAGTTTGAATCGTCAGTCCTAAAACTTACAACACTTGCTGTTGTGATTTGAATGTGCCATGTTTCCCATCAGCTCTTGTGTTTGATCATTCTGTTGCCATCTAGTGGTGCTTTAGGGAAAGTTTTGGAATCTATAGGAGGCTGAGACTTGCAGGAAGAAACACGTCAGTGGGGGAGGGCTTTGAGGTTTTGTAGCCTCTCTGCACTTCTTGTTCCCGTTTCCTATCTGCTGAGACAACCTGATCAACTGGACTCAAGCTTCTACATCCTGCCTTCAGCATCACCATGGATTCTATCCCTCGCAGACTGTGAGTCAAAATAAACCCTTTCTCCCTTAAGTTGCCTTTACCAGATACTTTATCACAGCAGAAGAGAAAACTAAGACACCCACTCATTTGTCCACCATTCACTAAGCCAACAGGGAGCTGCAGATTTCAGTGCTATTCAAGGAAAAACAAGTTCGTTCCCCCTCACATACCATGAGTGCAAGAAATACTTGTTTTGTTATACATAATCAAATAAAAACATATATTACTACTTTCATAACTGCTTCTTGTAACATATTTTGCAATGAGGGGATTAAAGGTCTAAGAGCTAGTTGAGATAAATTCTAATATCATATATAT